AGTGCAGAGATGACAGGCATGTGCCACTACACCCAGCTCATACTTAAAAGTTATACTGCAAATATTTAAGATATATAACATGATGTTTTTGGTATATGTACACAGTGAAATCAAGTTACACTTTCACATGGTGAGTGGGTTAGACGTTGATATCATAATCTTACATCTTTTGCAAAACTTGAATTGGTAGATTTTAGTGGACGAAACACAGTGCTTTTCCCAGACACTTTTAAGTATCCATGTACCACAGCTGTTCCAGATTATTAAAATGGGCAAGGAAATATATTTTTTGGTGAGTTACGTGGAATTTTACTGGCAAAGAAAAAAAAATTATGTGCTTCAAAGTAGGATGTACTTTCTATTTCTGAACAGCCGTTAGGATGACCAGGCTATTTACTCTGGCGGCATCTGGAATCCGGAGCGAGGACAGCATACCTAGCCCTCCTCACCCTTGGGAGTGGTGTGTGTCCACAGGCCTAAGCTGCCCGGAGTCACTGTGGCTGCTTTTGGAGCAGGTATAATACCTCCTTATGGAGTGCGCAGTGACAGGCGCGCACGGCGAATGCTGCCCGCCGCTGCAGCTCAGAGCGCTGTCGCCGCCTGGCCTGATGCCCGCCGCAGGGCTGTCTTTTCCCAGCTGCTGTTTCTCTACTTCCGTGATGCATGGAGCTGGCCTAGCTCAGCCCCTCCTACCCCGGCGTCCAGCGTCTTAGTGACGGAATCCGAGGTGCAACAGGAAGAGGGCCGTGTTGAGGGGAGCAGGGGAAGGCAGTGTCTTCAACCATAACTCCCTTTGCTGGAGAACCAGAATTTCAAATACTGCCATTTGTCCTTCCTGACTCTACTGTCATGAGCTGTCACTGTGGCCGCTGTTCATGTCATACTTTGGCTTTGGCATATTAGGAAGGAGCCTTGGGCCCATGTGCACAGAGAGCCCAGTAGCAACAACCCATTGGTAACCTGTCACCTGGCAGTAGAATGACAGCGTTGTCCTCATGTGAACATGTGGACATTTACCAAGGTGACCATGTTGTGTATGCCACCTGTGCACTGTGTGAAACTTTATGATGTGCCACCTGGCCGTGGTCCCTGAGGACTTAGGACCACACGGCACCTTGTGAAGACTGGATGGACTGGCAGCTGTGGGGATCTCAGGGGAAGGAGGGTGGGTAGAGATGGGGTCACAGCAAGGCGAGGCCTCACAGCGCAGGCATGGAGAGTGGAGCCCACGGCGCGGACATAGGACCCGGCTGGACTGAGTGCTGCTGTGGAGCAGGCCAAAGGCAGCCTCGCACACCTGCGTGCCCGTAGTTACCTCTGCTGAGTCAGCACCTGAGCACAGAGGGTGGGCACAGCTGTCCAGGCATCGGCTGGCAAAATACCATGTGCATTTCACTGTCATGAGGGAAGGAGTTTCTGGTGATGAGAGCGAACAGTGAAGTGATGTGGGCTATGCCGAGGTGAGAAAGTGAAGCTGTGTGTGCCTCTGCGAGAGCTTTCTTTGTCCTTGGCACTTGCTGCTGGGAGGGAGGCATTTTATTACCTTTGATCTTGGCAGAGCTGGGACTGGAATCCAGGGCCTGGTGCATGCCAGGCAGTTGCTGGACCACTGAGCTGTGTCCTAGCCTGACATTTTAATTATGGAGATAAGATTTCTTATAACAGTTTTTTTAAAAATGCAAGCCAGGTGTGGTGATGCACACGTGTAATCCCAGCACTTGGGAGGCTGAGGCAGGAGGCTTACCATGGTGAGTTTGAGTTTGAGGCCAGGCTAGGCTTTGTAGTGAATTCAAGGCCACCCTGAACTACAAGACCCTTCCTCAAAAGACATAACAGGGGCCAGCAAGCTAGCTCGTGGTCTAAGCGCCTGCTTAGGCAGCCACAGGGGACTGTGGTTCGATCCCTGGCACCACGTGCAGCACCAGCCTTACCCTCAGGATGGGCTGAGTCGGCCAAAAGAGAAAAAAACAGCAAACAGACTCCATGCTAGACAGATGCACATTTTACATTTCCCTCACTTTGTTTTGTTTTTTGTTTGTAAAAAACAAGTTTCAGATGATTGGATTTTGGCTCAAATTAGGTCGGGCACCCTGCGTCCCTGTTGGCATGCAGCAGTGCATTTGTTGGCTTACCGCCACCCATGGCACACTGTATTTTTTATTGATTGTTGGAACTCTAATAAGATTAGTTCCTTCTGCAGAAATTCTTAATGTCTCTTGTTCTTTCCCTAAATGGTCTATAATTTGTCCCTAGAACGTCTTTGTTTCTCTGAATTAAAATTTAAAGGTATATACACTAACACTTTACCTAATGCTTATGCCTTGCGCTTCTTTTCAGAGCTCTCTTTGCAGAGAGATCCATGTATTTTTTTTTTAAAACCAAAAAGGTTTTAGTTGTAGCAAAATATACCTTACATAAAATTGGACATCTTAGCTATTTTTAAAGTGTTATTTGTCTTCTCAGAATATGAATGTTGGACGCCCCATCAAAAAGAGGGGCGGACCCTAACGCTGCATCTGCACTTGTAGAGTCCTGTTGGAGTATAGCTTTACAATCCTCACAGGCTTGATCTAACTTTCCTTAAAAGGAGAACAGTTGTCCTTTACCCCCTAGTGCTGAGGACTGCGCCCGCCGCCGGAGCCTTCCTGTTGCTGGGCAAGTGTTCCACCTCAGAGCTATGCCTACCCTAAACGGTGACAAGTTCTAAATGTGTTGAAATGCAAAGTGCCTTCAAAGCTTTTCCCCCATTGGGTGCATTGCCTGGTGGCTCCAAAAGGTGAAACCAGAGCTGGCTTGTCGTCTTCACGAAGTCAGGTCTAGAGTGGACACTTGCAGTACCCACAGGCCAGGGGTCGGGGCCAGGCTTCAGTGCGGATTCCGGGGGTGCTTCAGAGCCAGCCCCCTCCCTCCCTGTCCCCTTGGCCACAGGAGAGGTGAGAAGGGGTGAATAAAGCCAGCAGCAGGAGCTGGAAGTAGGAGGCTGCGAAGCCTGGGGCCACTTGGGTGTAGATTACAAGATAATGAAAGTGGGCCTCGTTTGCTAGTGGGAAGCATTTTTTCTAGAGTCTGAATGAGACCAAAAATCCTGGAGAAAAGTCAGCCCTGTGAACCTTAGTTTAAGGACACAGGAACATGAGTTGTTCCCCTACAAGTTTTCCATCAGAATGGAAAAATCAAGGCTTTCTCACATGAAGCAGCACATCAGCCATTAGCAACAGTTACAGTATTTGGAACTTGTAGTTTCGTGACACTGTAGGACTCTTACGGGACCGGTTTTGTCCGGGGCACCTTGCTGAGCTGACGACAGTTGCACAGCCCGTCCCCACCATCTCTGAGAGCCGGACCTGGACGTCACAGGGAGTTAGGGATGGCCGCCCCACCAGCCATGGCCACCAGTAACATCTTCCTGCGTCCAAACCAGCGTTGCTGATTTGCCTTGCACCCCACGCGTGCTGTGCCCACACCTTAGGAGACGTCACCTCTCCTGAGAGTCAGTGTGGAAGGACACGCAGGATGGGTGTGGTCAGGTGTTGACGGGGTACACGGCGTCCTTCTTTAACAGTAGGAAGCTTTCCTTTACCCGGAGAAGGCGCAGCCTCCGTCTTTGCCTCTGGCTAAATCTTCCTTCAGGTTCTCTGACAGAAAAGGTGGGCTTCCAGACGGTTGGGGTTTCCAAAGGACTAAACCTGTGAAGGGACTTTTGTTTTTTTTGGTGGAACCGGGGATTGAACTCAGACCCTGCGCTTGACAGGGAAGTGCTTTTTCTACTGAGCCATCTCCCCGCCTCCTGTTAAGGGACTTTTGAAGTAAAATCTACTCAGCAGAAGATGAATCACTGCAGAGTACTCGCTGCAGCGGGTGTTCGACGTCACCTCTACTGAGAGTCATGCATTTACAACATTGCGTAACCAATGCCGTTGCCTAGTTCCCGAATGGCTTCGGCACCTCAGATGGAAAGCCCGTATCTGTGAGGCGCCTCTCGATTCCTGCCTCCCCAGTCCTTAAAATCCTCCAGTCTTCCCTTCCTGTGGACTTGCCTATCCAGAGCCTGCGTCTGGATACCTAGCCAAACCTAGCACGGGTTGCAGAAGTAGAGTCCAGAGCCGTCAGCACTGAGCGCCCGGGCACTGAGCCTAGGAAACTGTAGTTTCTGTCTTGTTGGACATTTGCTGGCCTGTGTGTGTCCCAGAAAGGCAAACTGTCACCTAAGCTGCAGGTGAATTCCCACAGCCCTTCACAAAGCACACGGCTACTAGAAGCAGACGTAGCTAGCTGTGTGTAGTGGAACATTTGCTGTTCTGGTTTGAAGTCACCGTTCGTCCAACAACATGCCCTGCAGCTGCTGACCACCTCTGAGCTTTCCTAAATCCCCCGCAGAAACTGCGCCCACTGAACAGCAAGTCTTCTGTTGCTCTCTGCCACCTTTTCTGCCTGATGTTTCATAATGGCCACAGGAGGAGGGAAGCAAGTGGCACACACAGGTCTTTGTGCCTGGGAAGGGAATAGGATTAAGAGATCAGCCTGGAAGGGGACTTGGGGCTGGGCTCCTGTCTCCTGCTTATCTTTCCTCCAAAAGCTGGCTTGCAATGGCTCCATTCATTTCTTTTTTTTAATTTTTTTTTAAATCTTTATTTTATTGATGTATTTGTTTATTTATTTTATGTGTGTGTGGCCAGCTCAGCCCACCAGGGGGCGGGGCTGGCTGGCATGTGGTGCTGGGGGATTGAACCGCGGTCCCTGATGCTTCGCTAAGCTTGTTCTAAGTAGGTGCTTTAAACCACTGAGCCATCTCACCAGCTCCAGGCTCCATTCATTTCTGCAGAATGGCAGGACTGTGCACGCAGAGGGGTTGGGACAGCATGGACAGAGATGTGCAGAGCTCCGTCCCCGCAGCGTGCCCCCCTGGGTATTGCTGACCTGGCCCTCCCGGCTCTGCCCAGGTGACCCCTGGCCATGGTGCCCATGTAACACTGTCCCGTGCCCTGCCCGTGTGCTTGCAGACCTACATCGGCTCCATCCTCGCCTCGGTGAACCCCTACCAGCCCATCGCCGACCTGTACGAGGGCGCCACCATGGAGTGCTACAGCAGGTGCCACCTGGGCGAGCTCCCGCCACACATCTTCGCCATCGCCAACGAGTGCTACCGCTGCCTGTGGAGGCGCCAGGACAACCAGTGCGTCCTCATCAGGTGAGCTTGGGCGGGGAGGCACGGGAGGAGCACCCCGGCGCTGACATTTCTGCTGAACGGGGCAGGGAAGCGTGCCGCTGCCACCTTCCCAGATGCAGCTCACCTTGTGGGGGAAGGAGGTATTTATCGCTTTCAGAGAACAAGTGCTGTCTCAGAAGAGCCGCCAGGGACTGGGCTGGGCAGCTTTTCATTCCGAACAAATGCCACTCCTGCCTTGATTTACCGTCATCTCATCCCCCACCCCCCCAGTGTGCCTTAATCTTTCTTTAGTGTATTGCAGTAATGAGGCAATAACTGTCTTTCTGTTTGTGGGGTTTTTTGGAACTGGGACTTGAACTCAAGACCTCACGCTTGCCAGGGAGGCAACGTGCTGCCGAGCTGTATCTCAGACACTGGCGTTGACTTTCTGTTTAAGGAAATTGTGATTCTTTCAAATTTAAAATGATTCATGTGTTCTAGAATGCTGGGCAGAACGTTTTCATAATTGAACACGGTTCCTTTTTTCCCCTTTAAATCAAATTTTCCCAAATTTAAGAAATGCTATTAATTGAATACTTCTAAAGTTTACTAGCACAAGGTCCTGAGTTTGATCCTTGGTACCACCAAAAACAACAACAACAATAAATAAATAAATAAATAAATAAATAAATAAATAATAAATAAATAAAGTTTACTTAAAAATTAGGAACAGATAAGAGAGTTTAACATACTATATAGGCAATCATTCAAAAGCCTGTTTGCCTCAATTATTTTCTTTTCTGATTCTAGTGAGTAGGCTTCACCTGTTCATTTTAGCTAAACCTAACTTTACAAAGAAGAACTGGGAATTCCCCCATTAAAATTTTGTCATTATGAAAAAAAAAATTGTCATTATGGCAAGCACAAGGGCCTGAGTTCAATCCCTGGTCCCACAAAAAAAGAAAAAAAAAATTGTCATTAGTAGCTTTCTTTTTTTCTTTTCTTTTTTTTTTTTTTTTTCCGGTACTGGGGCTAGAACTCAGGACCTTTCACTTGCCGGGCAGGTGCTTATGTCACTGAGCTATCTCCCCAGCAGTAACTTTCTAAAAAGCAGTAGAATATTTCTTTTTTAATTTCTTGGGTGGGAAGTGTAGCTCAGTGGAAGAGGTCTTGCCTAATATAGTCCTGATTCAGCCCCCAGCACCATTTATGACATCTCAACTTTTTTTTTTTTTTTTTTTTTTTTTTTTTTTGGTGCAAGATCTCACTACGCAGCTCGGACTC